CTTATCTCAACACACCCTTATTTGCCTTTTCATATATGACGAAGACAATTTCCAATCAGGAAAGCCTTTTTATTATCAAAAGACCAAAGCTACCTTAGTAAACTAATATTTATTCACAAACATGTTTAATGCCTTTAGCAGAGTTAAAACTTTGGAGTAATTTAAATTATTTATTAAAAATAATTATTAAGTTATTAGTTGGCTTAGGCGTTGTTTTCTTTCGATTTATTATATAAGATTTTTTCATATAGGTATTATGTTTTCTTTTTGAATTTGCATTGTAATAAGTATGTTTTCAGGATCTTTTTTATGGTTTCTATATGTGGAATTCTTCTTTAATGAATAATTTGTCTTTGTTTGGTTCAAATTCAATTACCGATATATTATTTTCTATGTTTTGATATTTATGATTAGTTTTTAGTAAGTGTTCTGCGTAGTTTGATTTCATACTTGTTGAATTTTTAGATTTAAATGCCTATATATGTTATTGGAATCTACATTTGAAGCTTCTACTAGTTTGGCCAATATAATACTTGTTACAGTCTGTACAGGAAATTTTGTAAATACCGTTTCTGTTAAATTTTGACGATTCTTCAGTTATTTGTTGATGTTTGGACACTTTTGAATTTATAATCTTAAAGACGTTGTTTTTTGTTCTATATGTTGCTTTGTAATTTGTTTTAGATAAGGTTTTCCTTATTGCTTTATTTAATTTAGAGTTACGAGGGAGACATATGTATTCTTTTTTTAATTTCTCTTCTTTTTTCTTTTGTTTCTTAATTTTGTTCTTTATCATATTATCAATAAGATTGTCCTTATATCCGTTTTTCGGCAGCAATATATTTTATTAGGCTATCTTCTTATCTTTTTCAAAATTTGTTTTGTTTAGGGGCAATGTTATTAGTCTGTAAATCATGGAGTGGAATGCTGCCATTTTTTGCTGCCAAGGATGGTTTGATGATTTAGGTATTATTAAATTAGAAGTGGTTGTCTTTCTAAAAATATCAAATGAGTGTTTTTCATCAATTTTTGAGATTGTTAAGTCCAGATAATTGATTTTTTCTTTTAGGGCATCTTTGGTAAAACTTGATATTTTTAGATATAGAATTTATGTATGTTAGAAGTGTGTCATCACTCTCAGTTTCGGATCCTTCAAATAAGAAAATAACACCGTCAACGTACCTGAACCAACATATTATCTTATTTTTCATGGGGTTTGAATTGTTTATAATTTTGTTTGTTTCTAAATAATTCATATATAAATCTGCTAATAAGCCAGAAAGAGGGCTACCCATTGCAAGACCATCATTTTATTTGTAATATTTGTTATTGTATTCAAAATAATTTTGTTCCAAAGTAATTTTTGTGAGATTGATGATGTCTTTTATTTCATTTTGTTTTAGAGATTTGTTTCTTAGTAACTCTTCTTATTATAGCAAACAAAATTCTTGTATGATATTAATGGTTTCTTTGATTGGAATATTTGAATACATGTTTACAATATCGAAGGAAATAAATGTAGAATTTTGTGGAATTTGTATGTTTTTTATGTTGTTTACCAATTCATATGAGTTTTTGATTCCATAGTTATGTTTTAAATTTATGTTATTTTTGATTTTATCATTGAGAAATTTACTTACATTGTATGTTGGTGCCTTTCTTAAGTCGACAACTGGTCTTATAGGAATGTTTGTTTTGTGGGTTTTCGGTCGACCTTGGAGTGTAGGAGATTTTGGATTGTTCATTTTAATGTGAGTTTTAATTTAATTTTAATATATATATATACACCTATATATATATATATCTATATATAGATATATAAAAATTTGAATGAATGGTGTTTATGGCCTCTGGGGACATCAAAATGAAAAAGTAAATCGGTTCCGGGTCTAGGTCTTACCATGAGACCTACGGTAATAGCTACTTCCCTATAGGGAAATTCGCTAAAAGGATGTAAAATATTGTATATAGCCTATAATTTTGTTTTGTCATACACATTGTTAATTGTTGTCTGTTTTTAAGTTAGTTACATTGACCTGAGTTACTATGTAAAACAGTTCTTGTGCTGAAAGACGGAAATAAAGGCATTTTAGCAAATTTCCCATATAGAGAATAAGCTATTACCGTATTACTCATGGTAAGACCTGGACCCGGGACCGATTTCATTTTTTTTTATTTTGAGGTACCTAGAGGCCAAAAACACCATCTGTTCAAATTCATATATATACTAGCAGAATACCCATGCTTCGCTACGGAAACATTCAAATTGGTTGAAATTTGTAATAAATTAGAGTGTTTAGGTGCCAACAACCTTCAGTCAACATTTAAACCCGTTTTGCTCTAAACGATGTCAAATTAAAGTAGCTCTCATGTCTCACCTGGTCCATAAAGTGTGTATGCTCAGGGTGGTTTCCAATCAACAAACTGCATAAAGGTTCAGGTAGGTGCTGCAAAGGTAATAATTGCACTTTACCACCATTGCAGCACATTCCCGGGGTTTCTTCTTTCCATTTTAAGGCCTCGCAGTACTTTCATTTGAACGTCATGGTACCTATCGCCACCAAGCTATCTCCTTCATAGTCTATTTTCGGATTAGGCCTATATGTCATTGCTATATCTTTCACCATCCATTGAATCTTTGGTGAATGACTTTCAGAATGAGTTTGTTCATACTTTTTGTTTGCGTTCTTCACCTGCTTTTTACTTAGTTTATCCGTGCACATGCTGCGCCATTTACGCCTTGATGTATATTGTTGAGATTCCGGGATTGGCTGACAATTAATTGGGAGAAACGGGCTCATTATGTGGCTCTAAAACGTCAAAGTGCCCGTTAGACAGGGATTTCGTAAATCTGAGTCTTTTCACAGGATAACGTTCATAACGAAACTTGACATCACCATTCCGATAAACCTCTAAAGCAAATGAGAATAGTTGTAAAGCGCAACCACCTCACACCACCCACCAAAGGTAAACGGCTTAGACATTTCATAGAAGTATTTCCTAGAATTAATCCCGTCACTGTCGTGGGATTAGATTGAGAAGTAGTCCCTGTTCCTCACAACATGTTCAACAATTGCTTCACACAGTTAATGTGTAAGGTGAATTATGAATGAGAGTGAAGTAATAGCTATTTACCTTACAAGTGTAGTAAGAGCGTTTTTACATCACGCAGGTGAATGTTGTGCAACGAGCAAAAGCGAGTTGCATAATTTACCTAAGTGATGTAAACACGCTCTTGCGTAACGTGTAACGTACAAGATTTTACCTGACCCGACAATATACAGGAGGTAACGAACAATATTTTTCATTATCCATTTCACTCATCTTCTAACAGTAGGCCCAAAGTTCATTTACAAACAAAAGCTAGGTTAGGAAAATTCTTCTAAACATAGCAATAAAATTCAAGCGCACAGCTGATTTCTAGCTTTGAACGTCGTTGACTACATAGAGGTATATTTTTTAAGTTAAGCACTCAATGTTATTTAAATGGGTTTCATTACCTCACCGAGTGAGTTTTTTCAACTTTACATCACTTGAGAAGTAAAGAAGTTGTATACATCACGCTTGGGATAGGGAAGATTAACATGGCGGGCTAGGTAAATAAACAAGCACCATCTCCTCTGATGTGAATGATATTGTGTGGAACGAACTCGCCATTAACATTTAAAACCTTAGTGCCGTGTATATACTATGAAACGGTTTATACAACAACAAAAATATTAACAGAACTGTATCATAAGTTCTGAAAAATGAAAATGCAATAAAAAGCGAAGTTCAATTCTACTTTATTCAACACTAATCACACATATTATAAGTTGATCAAACTAAAATGCCACAATAAATTAGGTTAATTTCACTGAAACACATGATATTTATATGGTCCGAAATAACCTTAGTAAGCTTAATTTTTATTCTAACAGCTGATGATTAAATAAATTGCAGACAAATGAAAACAAAAACCCAAAACAAATCATTCTTCCTATTCAAACTCCATGCTAAATTTGACCTTCTGTGGGGCGGGTCCCATTCCCATTGAGAATTTTGTAAAATCGCTTCTTATTGTCTGCCTACGCTTTGAGAAGAAATATGTACATGCAAAATCTCGTGCTTCTAGGTGCTATGGTTTGGCCTGTGCGTTGATCGGAATTTTGCATTTATATAATAGATATACAGTGATATACAGTGTAATATATGGGTCCGTGTGCGCGATAACTCTATAGCAAAAACGATCCGATTTTGATGAAATTTGGTACAAACGTGTAAATCTATGTTTATTCGAACGAGTTCGCGATCCAGCATAATCGGACCATGGGAACGGGGGCTTATGGGGGATTTTATAAGGGTAAAAATGGGGTGTTCCCATTTTTTGCCCTAAAAACAAAAAATTTGGCAACTTCTTTTTAAACCGTTTTGTAGAGCTTAAAAAAAGAAATAATTTTGTATATTGTAGCGCTTTTGTATGCCTAACGGTCACGGTGAAAATTCAAAAATAGTGTAGGCCTAATTTAAAATTCCCATGTTATTCTAATGGAGAAAATGAAAATTGCTGTAGTTTACTTGTTTATGGATATATAGGCTATTGATAAAATTTGGCACATTTATTAATTTCATCCAATACTATTGACGTATGGTCAAAAAACATTTTTTACCTTCCCAGTAGCAGCAAACCCAAGCACTCGTTAAATCTAATGTTATTTAAATAGGGAATAAATATGTCTTATTTATTGAAATATTTTAGTAAAAATGTAATCAGACAAGTTTAAATTTGCTTAGTCGGCAGGTTCGCTTCGGCGGGGGTATTTATTTATTATTAATTTTATTCATACGGCCTATACCACTATCTCTGTTAGCACCAAAGAATCAAAGTACTGATATTTCAAGGTCGGTTCTCAGTAACAGTTCTAATCCCAAGAACCCGTAGTTAGGCCTTCTTAGAACACTGACACATCACTAGTACAGTGTATTCATTTATAAGTATTTTTAATTATATAAATTCTTACCTTATATGTGGAATACCAACACCACCGTGTAATATTTTGTACAATTTGCTTTCGTATAGTAACTGTGGGTGACGTGCCCTGATGGGTTCAAGTTTAACTGCTACTTCCTAAAACAAACAATAATATTAGGATATATGTTAATGAAAAGAATATTTTCCAAGCTATTTACCTGTCACTTCACACTTAAATTTCTATTATATTGCAAATTTAAAACCGTACAAGCCTACAAAAATATAAAATGAATAAAGTAACAAAGGCCTGACTTAAATATATTTTCAATCGGTTAAGAACTAAGCCGAAAATGACGGAGATCCCAAACCCTTGCATTAGCCCACGGTGGACAGATAGAGCGCACCCTTAAGTTAAAATTAGTATTTTACAATGTAGGCCTACTAACTTATCTAGCTTACCTACAAAACAAAACAAATTCAGTCCAAAAATGTTACAAAAGTTTGATAAGTCAAGTATTTTATGCCGAATTTGGTATTTATTGCAATTAACCTGACCATGGGAACCTATATAGATTTATATATCACCAGAAACTAGATTTTTAGCTGGAAAAAAACTGTGCAAAAATGTATCGGTGCTCATAAATATTAACCCGAACTACAGACGTTTAAAGCTTTGTTTACTTTTTTGTAAATTGACTAATTAGTTAGCCTACAGTATTTCTTCACCAGAAACGTTATGTAATTACATTTATTCTAAGTGATTAAAGTAAAAGTACCTAGACTCACTTTTAACCTGAAAATAACGGTACAAAAAATCTCGGGGATCCCGAATATTAACTAAGATAGTTTGAAGTTTTAATTTATTCTACCTTCTTGTCTGCTTGCCGCATTACGGTGAACCCAACTAAGTTAAAACAAACAAACGCAAAATAAAATGAAAATATGAAAATTGAAGAAGAGAATAGAAAAGGATAAAAATAAGTTAATGCAAACACATTCAAAGTAGCCTACATGTTTTACAAACATTTAAAACACAACTGAGAACTGTCTTCATACTGTATCTTATTTAGGCATGTGTGGAAGGCAAGTTGGGCTTTATGCTGATTTGTGGCTGTTTAAGTGTTTTGAAGTTAGGTTAGATTAGGAAGATATGCCTACCTAAAGTGTAAGTTATAGTGAACCGAGTTGATAATTTATAGAAAACACAGGCTGTTTTTGAGATAGACCCTAGGTACCTATTGAAATTTCAGTTTTTTTAGGATGAGTCGGTGGCTCAGTCGGCAGCGATGTCGTGGGTTCGGATCCTGGTTACTGCTGAAAACATTTTATCAGTACAGTTCGCCTTTGTAGGTACCGGCTCACCCCTTGCTTTGCTGGATACGTTCCACCCACACACAGATCCGTAGTCTGTGTGGACGGGCAAATAAAAGTCAACACATTCGCTGCAGCACGTCAAAGGGCGGGCGTAACCCAGTGCGGCGCAGCCCTCAGCGTCGAACAAATCCGATTGCCGCGTGTGATTGGCTTTCCAATTTCGGTCTGAAGAATAGCAAAGAACGTGCAGCGATGTCCTGCTTTACAACGAGAGTCGACGTAGTTCGCTTGACACCCACAGATATCAGCACTGCTTGGAACGTAATACATAAAAAAGTCCAAACACGACTAAACACAAGCTCAAACTTACATAAAGGCAAGCGGGAACTTAAAAATCCGCAAAAAATCAGAGCGCGCCCGAACTAAGGAGTGGCGGCAAAAACAGATTTCTATTGTATTTACAGACCACGCTCAGCAAGTAGTAACGTTCTCCGTCAAACACTAGACTCATACTGGCTGCTTTTGTTCGGCCAATTGATTCAAAAAATCCGCCGCGAGCGCCACCAACTGGAACGGCGGATCTGCAAGCGGCGGTAATGACGTAATACTACAGTATGTCCCCCAAGGGCTGACAGAGTTTCAATTCCCTAGTTTGAAAACGGGTACAACTGTAACACCATTTGCTTAACCTTACACAAGGACGTCTTAGGACGTCCTCCGCTATTTCTTAATAGGGTTGAGGACGTCTTAAGCGGGCAATGTGTTAAAAGAGGCTGTCAACCTCTAAAAAAAAAAAACAAAAAAAAAACAGTTGCTTAAACAAAACAAAATAACAATTTAGGCCACTATTATATAACAAAAACAGCCTGTGTTTTTATATAAATTATCAACTCGGGTTCACTATAACTTACACTTTCCTAATCTAACCTAACTTCAAAACACTTACAGCCACGAATCAGAATAAAGCCCAATTTGCCTAACACACATCCCTTTTCTGTTATCAAACGCAATATTTAGGTTTTACAGCTAGTATGGTTAGGTTATGTTAGTTTAGAACAATTTCATTTGATGATTAATATATCTTACTTTTGAATGTGGTATGAAAGTATTTTAAAGCTACATGGTAAAAAGCCCAAGCAAGAGCCCTAGCATGCATGGCATAGACTAGTTACTGGAACTGGATGGATATTTAACTTTATGTGACAACCCATTGATTCCACCAACCGATAATTCACCCAGTGGTTTTTGGGTTCACCCAGTTCTTTTAGCCTGAATGATTCACCTGATCTCAACTATCACTAAAAGAGCCTGTGCCTCATTCTAGTTTGTATGTTTGTCGTCAGTGTTTTTATTGGTTATGGGTTGTAGGCAATATACTGCAATCTAATTTTCTCATATGAAGACTAATATTTGCATTTGACTTGTAGTTTTTAGCATTTAAAGGAATATTTTGTATAGGCCTAATAAATTAGTTAAGTTAAACTTTCGATTTTGTTTATAAGTAAGTTTGAATTTTTATTAGCCTTCAATTAACTAGTTTCAAATTGCAAAGTGATTTACGTTAAGTGTGTACAATGAAGTGATTAAGAAGGCCAAGGTTTGGTATGAAAATATGGACAAAAACACCAAACACCAGGAAAGGTACTAGGTGACATGAGGGAAAAGGTACTAAGCGAAAGATATGAGGGAAAGCACCAAAAAAAAAGGTACTCAGAGACCCGAGAGAAGTACTGAGGGAAAGTGCTCAGGGAAACGTGTGCAGGACTTTCGCTGGGTACTGGGTACTTTCCCCCACTCTCAAAGCACTTTATGACCCTATATAAAGGAGCTTCCTTGGGGGACTTCGGCAGTTGGGCCTCCGGGCCCGCCCCCGCCGGTAGGTGCCACCGGTGGGTCCCTTCCCCGCACTAGAGGCTTGTTGAGCTCGGTGCTTCCCATTCCCCAGCACTAGAGGCGTGTTGAGCTCGGTGCTTCCCGTTACCCAGCACTAGAGGCGTGTTGAGCTCGGTGCATCCCGTTCCCCAGCACTAGAGGCGTGTTGAGCTCGGTGCATCCCGTTCCCCAGCACTAGAGGCGTGTTGAGCTCGGTGCATCCCGTTCCCCGCACTAGAGGCGTGTTGAGCTCGGTGCATCCCGTATCCCAGCACTAGAGGCGTGTTGAGCTCGGTGCATCCCGTTCCCCGCACTAGAGGCGTGTTGAGCTCGGTGCATCCCATTCCCCGGCACTAGAGGCGTGTTGAGCTCGGTGCTTCCCGTTCCCAGCACTAGAGGCGTGTTGAGCTCGGTACATCCCGTCCCCGCACTAGAGGCGTGTTGAGCTCGGTTCTTTCCGTTCCCCGCACTAGAGGCGTGTTGAGCTCGGTGCATCCCGTTTCCCAGCACTAGAGGCGTGTTGAGCTCGGTGCATTCCGTTCCCGTACTAGAGGCGTGTTGAGCCCGGTGCATTTTGTTTCCGTACTAGAGGCGTGTTGGGCCCGGTACATTCCGTTTCCGTACTAGAGGCGTGTTGAGCCCGGTACATTCCGTTCCGGCACTAGAGGCGTGTTGAGCCCGGTGCAGCTGGTTGGCGTGTTGAGCCCCAGCATACGTTTTAATTCAGTTTAAGTCCCCGGTGGCCAATGGAGCTGCCTCCCGGGACCATGAATCCGTCTCCTCCACTATGTAAGAGCGCCATCTAGGAGAGATGGCAGTCGACGTCTGTCAGCGTTACTGGCGACATCGTGTGAAGCTGCTGCGTTTGGGCTCTGGTTGGTGAGCCGCCCAGCACTTCTCGAGACAGAGGAGTCGACGACCGACAGCGAGGCTAGTGGCATCGTGTGGAGCTGCTGCGTTTGGGCTCTGGTTGGTGAGCCGCCCAGCTCTTCCCGAGACGGAGCCAGTTAGAGGACTGCAGGAGCTGAGAAAAGAGGACTGTATGAGCCGAGAGGAGAGGACTGCAGGAGCCGAGAGAAGGAAAGGACTGCAGGAGCTGAGAGAAGAGGACTGCAGGAGCCGAGGAGAGGCTCTGCAGGAGCCGAGAGAAGGAGAGGACTGCAGGATACGAGGAATAAGGTCTGCAGGAGCCGAGAGGAGAAGTCTGTAGAGCCGTGGTGCTGGGACTTCTGAGAGCCTTCGAGCAAGTGGGAGAAGCCACAGACTGGGCTTCATAAACAGAAGGGATTTGTATATATTGTATAAAATTTTTTTGTAAATAGTTTTAAAGAATCCTGAAATAATAAATGTGTTGTAATCCTTTCAAGTGTTCAGTCAATCTGAGTCCTAAAATCCCCGAAAAGGTCTGAATGCTGGTCAAAGGTAAAAACCTGAGAAAGTATGTTACAAGTGATAGTTATAGAAAACGTAAATAATTCAACAATCTTTTTTACTATTTCACAAGTCCCCTTTAACACAGTTTATTTTTATGTGTCATCGCATACTTTAAGGCCTATTTTGCTTGAGCGATTTTTATTTTATCTTATTTTTCACGGCAATCCCATTTACAATAATAACAATCAGTTAAGATTATAAATAAGATTATATAAACTTCGAGACTGATTTAGAAACTATACAACAAAAACAACATTTCATCAACAATTGCATCAATACAATCAATCAACAATAACAGCTAAAATACTATGACATAACAATGCAGAATGATTATAAATAAACTCAACAATGCATAATGATTATGAATAAAAATAACAATAACATTTATGCATACGACTGCAGCGATGGTCAGCTGGGCACTGTTCTAATGGAGTTTGCGTTGTACTGTTTTGCTTTTGTACTATCGCTACAGTCACTCCAAGCAAAATAGGCCTTTAAAACTAGCATAAGCTCGAAGGTTATGAAAAAAACATTAG